CTGTAAACTTCTTGTATCTTCATAGGTATTTCCTTCTTTAAGTTGGGAAAGTTTTCTTACATAATTTTGTTGAATATATTTTCTGTACCTTTGAGTTGTTATTCTTCTTCTATCCCTATTATTTTTAGATTTGGCCTTTTCATGGTGTCCCAGATTTCCTGGACGTTTTGTGTTATGACTTTTTTGGCTTTGGGGTTTTCTTTGACTGATGAATCTATTTCATCTATCATATCCTCCATGCCAGAGATTCTCTCTTCCATCTCTTGTATTCTGTTGGTTATGCTCGCATCTGTATTTCCTGTTCGTTTACTCAGATTTTTTATTTCCAGCATTCCCTCAATTTGTGTCTTTATCATTGTTTCTATTTCAATTTTCAGGTCTTGAACTGTTTCCTTCACCTGTTTAATTGCTTTTTCTTGGTTTTCTTGGCTTTCTTTAAGGGATTTATTGATTTCTTCCATTTTTTGTTTGTCTTTTCCTCAATTTCAAAGAGATTTTTTTCATTTCCTCTTTAAAGGCCTCTATCATCTTCATAAAGTTATTTTTAAGGTTGCTTTCTTCTGTTTCTTCTCCATTGTGATGTTCAGGTCTTGCTGTTGTAGAACCACTAGGTTCTGGTGGGGCCATATTGCTCTTTATGTTGTTGTATTTTTGCACTGGCATCTACCCATCTCTTCTTCCAATAGGTACAAGAGGTGCTTTGTCTGAGTGAGCTGCTCTTGGTCTAGTATGTGATTGCTGTGTCTGTGTCTCAGGGGGCCACTCTTGGTTCAATCGTAGCTCTTAGTCTAATTGGAGCTGGTGGATTCTGTGTCTCAAGGAGCTGCTCTTGGGTCCAATCAGATCTAGCAGATTTTGTGTCTCAGGGAGCTACTAAAGTGTCAGGGAGCTGTGTGGGTTTGGTGTAGGGAGAGGTTCTTGTAGATTGTAGGGTCCAATGGGGGTGTTTGTGGGTAGGCCTGCCTGTAGGAGTCTTCCCTGCTGGCCTGTAATTCTTGGTCCAATCAGAGCTGACAGATTCTGTGTCTGAGGGAGCCACTGAAGTGTCAGGGGGATGAGTGGGTTTAGAGTAGGGGTGGATCTTGTACATTACAGGGTCTGATGAGGGGGTGTTGGTGGGGAGGCCCACCCACAGGTGTCTTCCCTGCTGGCCTGCAACTTTTGGCCCAATCAGAGCTGGTAGATTCTGTCACAGGGACCCCACCGAGGTCTCAGGGGAATGAGTGGATTTGAAGGTGGCCTTGAAGTAGGGAGTGGGTCTTATAGGTTGCAGGGTCCACTGGGGTGTGTTGGTAGAGATACCTGCCTCAGGAATCTTCCTGCTGGCCTGCAACTGGGCCAGCGATGAATAGGAGTTCTAATAGTATTCTTTCAAGTTCAAAATTTTTTTTTACCTTAGTTACACATATTTTTGATATCATATGTAAGAAATAGTTGCCATATCTTTGGCTTCATTTTCTTCTAAGCAGTTTATATTTTTAATTCCTACATTAAGGTCTTTGATTCACTTGTGGTTTGTTTTTGTGTATGGTGTGAAAAAGGGATAAAGGTTCATTCTGTAGTTTATATATCCTGCTGTTGAGTACCCTGAGTAGCAGCCCAGAGGATCAGGTACCTGGTGTCTCATTGAAAAGTTGTCCACTTGTCTGTTTGGTCTTGTTAACAATTAATATTGAGATGATTATACATCAAGAAGTGCTTTGTATTATAACGTCTAGTGGCCTGGCACAATGAATAATACTTTTGGTATAAAATTTTATTTAGGAGGCTTGGGAAATGACTCAAACAGTAAAGTGCTTGCTTTACAAGCATGAAGAACTAAGGTCAGATCACCAGCACCCACAAAAAGATTCTAACACTGGGGAAGCAGAGATAGGCAAATCCCTGGAGCTTACTCTATCAGTGAACTTACCTGAATCCATGAGCTCCAGGTTAAGTCTCAAAAAAAAAGTAAGGTGGAATCCTAAGAGATGGCCCAGTGGTTGAGCTGTTTCTGCTCTTTCACAGAACCCAAATTCAATTCCCAGCACTCACATGATGGCTCACAACCACCTGTGGCTCCAAGTCTACAGGATTCAAAGCCATCTTATGGCTTTTGTAGGTACCTGCACTCATGTGGTGTATACTTACACAGACACATAAAGATAAAAATAAGGTGGAGAGAGATAGAAGACACCTAATATGAACATCTGACCTCCATATTCACACACACACACACACACACACACACACACACACACACACGAGCACAAGTTATACCACACACACTAAAAATGGATTTAATGAAGTAAATAATTCATTAGCAGGAAGTCACATGGATTTACCAGAAAAAAACAGGATTTTTGTTTTAATGTTAACATTTTATAATCTAGATTATTTTGACAACAGAATAAGCTGACTCTAAACACTTCCTGACAGACTCTGCCAAGGTTTAAAATAAACAGCTAAGGAAATTCAAATTTACATTATCTGTTCCTGCAGCTGCTCAGCTTCTTCTAAGCAAGTGCCAGAAAATATAATGGTTTTTCCAACTGGTTTTAGATTAAAATTGAAAGAACAATTCATGTCAGGGATAATTATTGCCAAGTACATTTGGCAGAATTTATATATCAAATTCCAAGGGAAACACAAACAACATCCTCAAAAGTTAGGAGGAAACAAATTAGCATGGATTGTGAGACATTTTATCTATGTTGTTTTGTGTTTCTTCAACAGTGGAAATTTTCTGATAGAATTAACATGTGGTATGAAGATCTTTCTTCTTTACACTCACTAATATGTCTTTATACCAGAAATCTTTGTCACTGTTCTTCTACCCCTTACTAGGCTACTGAAAAAAAACCAAGACATTTGTTGCTGAACATAATCTGATATAATAGGCATAGTCTGTATATAACTGAACCCTGTGCAATTTACCTTTTTTTCTTTTGGTTTTTTTGAGACAAGGTTTCTATGTATAGTTTTGGTGCCTGTCCTGGATCTCACTCTGTAGACTAGGCTGGCCTCGAGCTCACAGAGATCCACCTAGCTCTGCCTCCTGAGTGCTGGGATTAAAGGAGTGTACCACTACCGCCGGGTGCAATTTATCTTTTTAATATATTGAACAATTAGTAGCATTGGTTAAAATTTCACACATTGGGGGCATTTTTTCCTCTACCACTGTATATCAATGCCACCAACAAATGTGTTGTCAACTTTTATCTTATACTAGTGTATGATGTGGATCCATCTATATAAGCCCAGGGACATGCCTCTCCCCAGAAATTGGTCATCATCAGGTATCTCCTGCAAGGCCACGAGTGTGATGAGGCAAAAGAGGATTAGAGGGGGCCCTGGCCCCTGTTTTTATAGTTGTCTTAGCCCTCTGACCATGCAGTTCCCCCATGCATTTCTCTGCAAGGAAATTCTATTTACTGGAAGAGCTTCCTTATCAACCCCTGACCCTTGGCTCACAGCCAGTATAGAATGTCTTTTGTCAAGGCCTTCAGTTGGCAGAGCCAGTCAACTGGCTCTCAGATATCTTGGAAACCCTGGAATGGACTAAAATTCAGGGCTAAGTGGAAGAGTAGGCCAGCAGAATGTGGTAGGGATAAGGTCAGCTCTACCTTGCCCTGTTTGGTCAGAGTCCTTGACAGAGGTCTCTAAAAACAAAGTATTAGTTCAGTTATTTAACTGCTAGATCCTGTTAAAGTCTTCCTCTGTGACTGGATTGTTCTAACAGGTTTTTCTTTGTGTGAATGGAACCAAAGCTGGCCACCATTGAGAGATTCCTTCCAGAGTTACCTTTCTTAGGAGGAAATCTACTTCATTCTTTCAGCTACAACTTCCAACTTTTACGTCTACATTTACACACTAGGAGGCACAGAGCCTCCCTCTAAGAGGGTACAGCCTTCTGTCTGGTGTGTCTCTGTTTAGGCTCTCTCCTTTCTGTTTTTCATCCCTTATGGTTCCTGTGGTATATAACTGCAGAGGACTTGCACACACATGTGTGGCAGGGCAGGGCAGAGTTTGTTCTATAGGCAGATGAACATAGTTCTATGTTTTGCTAAAAGAGTTCAGACATCACATCTTCATCCATCACATCTGTCATCCACATTGATTTTTACACCTTTGGGGTATAAACTCAGGGACCTGCTGAGTGGTTCTACAATGTTATGTGCCCAGATGAATTTTCCCATGGTCACCATTGTGTCTCCATGGTTTAGATATCTGTATGTCTCATGAAGGAGGTCTTTTTTAAAAATCTTTTATTTTTATTTTCTGTATGAGTGTTTTGCCTGAATGTGTATGTATATGCACCACATGTGTACAGAAGCTAGAAGAGGGTGTTGGATCCCCTGGAACTTGAGTTATAGACAGTTTAGAGTGGCCCTATGGATTCTGGGAGTTGAACCTGGGTTCTCTGCCAAAGCAACAAGTGCTCTTAACTGCTGAGTCATCTCTTCAGCCCCTTTATGAAAGAGGTCTGTCTTATAACCTTGCTCCCAAGCTTTGTGTATAATACAGTTGCTGCATTTAAGTTTTCAGTTTAAGGATTAGTGTTTCTATGCATTTATAGCTTACAGTAAATTGTCCAAACCAAGCTAGACAAAAAACACTTCCAACTGACATAGTTAAAACACTGATAGTTTTTGTTCATCTTTATATGATTTTTATAGCTTTGGGTGGATTAAGGTCCTGCTTGATGAAGTAAATTCTTGAACAAAAGATGATCTTGATTTTACAGCTTTTGAAACAAACACACAAAGGTTACTGTCTGCATTTTCCTCATTTTTATTCTTTCTTTTGCATGCAGGAAATTATTGTGAAGAGGCAGGGCAACACCTATATCAACAACTATAGGGAAGTGAAGGAAGCAAGTTCTGGATATATGTGCAAGTTCTACTTTTCTTGTAGATAATAGAGGAAAGTGAGATGAAGGAAAATACTTCCAGCTGATTTTTGACGTGGGATCAAATAAAGTCCTTCAAAATGAATGACCTTTTGTTTTCTTCATCCAGATTTCTTCCTAGAATGCCATCAACTTTTCCATTCAACACCTCCATCATGTACAAAAAGACTGTGTTTGTAGAGTACATGGACCACCTTTTCAACATTGCCAAGCCCAGGCCACCCTGGATGGGTAATGAAAACAATATTGAATGCTAATTATGATACTAGGTACCTCATTTTCTAGCAAAGATCCCTAACAGAGGGTGGTTACCAAAGGTTATATTCTTTAATTATGTGTCCTTAAACTGGCTGGACTTTCTGTCTCCTCTGCTTGGCTTCTACAAGCTTGGACTTGGATTATTTCCTTTTCTTTCTCTCTTCAATCTAGTTTTATCTTCTATAGTTTTAAAGCTTTAAATTTTCATCTATTTTTTTAATAATTCTACTTCTATATTTAATTTTTACTAAATATCAACTATGGTGATATTTTATTTGTATTAAAATGTTATTTGTATGTTAATAAATAAAGTTGCCTGGGGGTCAGAGCTATTAGCAAGCCATAGGAAAGCAGGGCAGTGGTGGCATACGCTTGTAATCCCAGCACTTGGTAGGCAGAGCTAAGTAAGTCTCTGTGTGTTCAGGGATACAGCCAGTATTGGATATATATGCCTTTAATCTCAATACCAATCATAGAAAACCTGGAGGTCTATACAGACAGACCATGACGAGGTGGTCATGTGATTGGGTTTACAACTAATGAGAAGGCAGAACAGAAACTCTATATAAAGACTTTAACACAGGAAGTAGCTCTGGTTCAGAGAGGTAGGACCACCGCAGGAGGAAAAGAAAGGTTTTAGCTCTTAGCTCTGACCTCTTGGCTTTCTTCTTTGCATTGGTTCTGTGTTTCTTATTTAATAAGATGGTTGGTTACATCTACAATCAACTCTTTATCTCCACTTAGATGCCAAATAAGCATGTAACAAGATCATAAGATATTTATTGCATTAACAATGTTTTTATCAATGCTAGGGATTCAGATGAGGACCTTGTACATGTTAAGCAAGTGCTCGCCTACTGAGCAAAACCACCATTACCTGTCTTAGAATTGTTGCTGAGAATTATAGGAGACAAATACTCTCATATTTAAAGAGAGTGCTGAGGCTTGATTAAGGTTTTTTTTTTTTCATGTAGTAGCCATAAACTGGTTCTTCAACCCCTGGCCCATGACCCCTCTGTAGCCTATATGAAAGAAGGCTAGGAATGTATAAGATTTACTTTTGAGGATTTCTTTGGAAAACATTTTTGATATGTTCTCTACTCCAAGATGGGAGGGAGGCCACTTGAGGAGGATTAAGAAAAGAAGTCAGGAAATGTGTGACACTGACAACAAAAGTACTTTTACTTGCTGAAGTTTTTTTTTTTTTTTGAGCTGTTCAAATCATAGCAGTAGAATAAAGGGAGCTTTAAGATTCAGAGGACATCGGGCTGGAGAGATGGCTCAGAAGGTCAGGAGAGATTGCTCAGAAGTTAAGAGCACTTGTTGCTCTTGCAGAGGACCTGGGTTCCATTCCCAGTACCTACGTGGTGGTTTAGAAACATCTGGAACTACATTTCTAGATCCAAAACCTTTTTCTGACTTCCTTGGGCACCAAGCACACATATGGTGCACATAGGCATGCAAGCAAAACACACACACACACACACACACACACACACACACACACACACACACACACACACACATAAAAAATGGATAATAAAAAATAGATTCAGAGGACATAAAAGTTTGTCATTAAAAGGTACTGAAATTTTTAACTTCTAAAAACATTAGCATCTGTTAATATTTGAAGATGACTAGGAAAGATTTAGTCTTGATCAAAGTACAAGAAAGAAAAATTCCACAGAATGCAGCTTAAAAAACTGGTCATCTAGGAAAACAAACCTTGTTGCTGGAGGGCTTCTCTCCAGGTTCCCCAAGCCCCGCAGTCCCACAATCTATATATAAAATAATCACTCAGACGCTTATATCACTTATAAACTGTATGGCCGTGGCAGGCTTCTTGCTAACTGTT